CTGAACGGCGATTGCGATGTGCTTTGAGTTTCTTACTTTATTGTAGTCTTTCTCTCTCCCGAGCTGCACTTCTAGTTTCTCCCTCTCCATCCTCTCCTCCTGGAGCCACTCTTCCTTCTTCTGCACCTCGCAGGCAAGATCTTGCAGCTTCTTTTTGTCAGTCTGCACAAAAACATGAAAACAGTTTAGTTTTTTGTTGTTTCTTCTGGGTTTTTTGTTGTTGTTTTTTACTTTGATGCATATTCTGCATCCTCACTTCTGCTGCATGTCTGTATGCCTCTCTCTCCAAAGCCCAGTTGGCCCTCTCCTCCCTCAGGAGGAGGTTCTCCTCAGACAGCTGCAGAGTGAGCTGGGCCACTTGGAGTCGGGCTTGGTGCAGGTCAGTGTGGGTGTGACCCTGTCGGGTGCTCAGGTCCCTCAGCTCCCTACGCAGGCCTTCTGCCACGTGGTCGCTGGCCTCGAGACGTTCCTGGAGCAGTCGTGCCTCGGCAAGAGCATCCTCATTTTCCATCTTCGGTTAGTCAAGGAGCATGAAGAGAAACAATGTGGGAGAATATGCCAGAAGAAAAGACAGGAAAATATCTGATTCTTGTCTGTTTTTAGTGAGATGACGGGTTATTGTGTTATAGAGTGACAAGCTTCACAGCAGTTAACCTGCAGAGACTTCCTCTTCTCCTCATCATGCTTCATTTGACAGGACATTTTCTTCACTCTTTCTTTCAGCCTGTGGTAAAAACTAAATAAATTCACTTTTCAGGCCAAAGTGGCTGGAGAATGACTCAGCTGACATGTGTTGCGAGGGCTTGCCTTTCCAGTTCCCTGTTTTGCTCTTTCTCTCGCTCAGCCAGAATCTCGACATCCTCCTCCAGGTCTTTGATGCGCTGCTCTCTTTCAGCTTTTTCAGTCGCAAGTTTACTCAGCTCAGAGGCCAGACTTTCTTGACTGTATTTTGCATCCTTTCAGTTGCATGGAGAGAAAAGAGAATATATCTTTTCATCAATTTTCAGTGATCAGCTATCAGTGCACACTGGTGATCAGTGTGCACCTCGTGTTTTACCTCAATTGTCTTCAGCATCTCGCGGCTGTGTCTCAGGTTGTCTCTGAGCTCCATGATCTCCTCCTTCATTGCTTCTCTTTCATATTCCCATTCACTTCTTGCTTCTCTGCTGTTTTCTTTCTCATTCTCCGTTTCCTTTTTCGCTACATCCAACGCTTGCTGCAGACCTCCTTGCGTTTTTAAGCACTCCTCCAGCCGACTCTGTGGACAACACAGAAAGAAATGATGAAGCATTTTCAGGCATATTTCTAATTCCTGTGTCAAAGATAATAAAAAGAAATAAACATTTTCTCTTCCAACCTGCAGCAGCTGAGCTCTGGGAATGACTAAGAGCAGCTCTTCTTCTCCATCCTCTGCATCTTCTTCTTCTTTCAGGGTCTCAAGCTCCTCCAGCGGCTTGGGTGCACAGAAAGTGAAGGGACGACTACGGGCACACACCTCTCCTATCTTGTCCACATACACAAATTGGTACTCTACAGTACCGGGGCGGGGCAGGTATGATGCTGTATCAAGAAGACATTTCTTATTATCCTCTAGTGCCTAAAATTAGCTGTCAGTTACTGTCAGTTACAGTTACGATAATGCAAAATAAGGCCCAAATACAAAAAAACTAAAATAGTGCAGTACAATCTCATTATAAGCTCCTAATGCTTTGCATAAATTAGTTTTATTTGATCACAGTGAAAACATTAAAAACAACAGCTAATCTTCTATGAAAGTGCACAGCAGCATCTTTGTTTACCGCCCTGGTACCACTTTGCTGTGGTGATGCAGCAGTGCACTCTGAGGTGTGTCTGTTACACAGGCCTAGAGCTCGGTCAGCAGACTGCCTGGAAACCCCAAATCCTTCCAGCAACTGCTGAACAACTGAAATTAAAACTTTCATTCTCTACATAGCTGGCTACAGGGAAAGCAGGTTGTTTTCCCCCAGGGTGTCAGGGACCACTGACGGGCGTAGTTGACTGTAGTTTAAGATATCACTGCTGGGTGCGACACAGAGACAGACTGCATATGAGAGGTGGACATAACCACTTTGACGTCCACATTTTGGGTTTTATCTGTCTGTTTATTTATTTGTTTGTCTATAGGTAGACAACAAGCAAAGGGTGCGACTGATTTAGAAACTGATATTTCAGACATAACTTTTCAACTACACCCTAAATGATCTTTTTTCCCCGAATGGGGCCACAATTGTCAAAATATTCACCATCCTGTGTTACAATTAAGAATATAAACCTATCTGGATACTGCATACTGAGACGTCTACAAAATAGTTTTTCTTTGGTGAATCCAAAGTCTCCCCCTGCTGGCTATTAGAAAGAATGCAGGTTTAAAGAGGACCCGTTATGCTTTTCCTCGTTCTCTGTCATACATAAACAGTGGTGGATATTAAAGTTTCAGATTTTTATGTCTGTGGTTGTATAGTAATCACTCTGAGATGAAATGATGTCAAAGTGAAGGGATATCTATCGTATTCATTTTTTGAGGCACAGTTTTGGAGTTTAGTCGTTGTGCTCATGAGGGGCAGCCAATGAAAAGGAGCTAAAAAGGCTTATTTCAGACAGATGCTGAACTGAGGTGCTGCATCAGAGCCAGGTCTAACATCAATAAAGTTTATTATGAAATATGAATCTATGCTTACAGGAACAAACAAACACACAGTATTTATCAAATGTGCAACCAGGGAGGACAGGGCAATTTCAGCCAGACAAACAAATAACAACAACAACAAAACAGACAATTAACCATCAGGAGCGTTTATTACAGTTCTTACCCTGGAAAACTGCACAGAAGTCAACACTGGTTCCCTCTGTGTAGCCTTCAGGAACAGTAGCCCATGTGTATGTGTAATACTGTTTGACTGAAGTCCATCCCATCTATAATAGGATAAACACACTCTATGTCATAAAGCACACAATGTGACTACCACGATGCAACACATGGGACGGTGCTGTAGTTGATGACCGTACCTCAAAAATTCCTATCCAGTCACTATTGCTCCACTGATGGTCTGAGGTCAGACTGTAGTGGCACTCCACCCTGGTTTGGGGGAAGTACACTTGCCCCACATTTCGAAACACCACCCTGGGCTGTTTGTCCATGACGGTAGGAAGCTTTGCTGTTAAAGAAGAAAACATGCGAACAGCTGATGAAAGACGATAGCAGCATCGGTCCAGGAATGCAGCATGGTCATAACAGGAGTGACCTACGGCTCATCAGCTTGTTTACCTACTGAGGAGTTACATTATGCCATATAGCCTACAAAATAAACAGAGACGGAGAGATCTGGTTGTATCTCTTTGTCGTCACATATAAGAATGACCACTCTATTTAAAGACTAATGGAAAGTCTTTCAAATTTGTTTTTATTTATAAAAAGTCAAAGTTAGCTAATAGCTTTATACTAAAACATTTTTTAATATATTTAATTCCAAAAAAACATAAATATCATATAATAATGGTACACATAATAACATAACAAATAAAGCTTTTACAGAAATGTAAAAAACAAACAAATTATAATCAATCTTCCCTCATGTCTGCAGGCGAGACATTCAGCTAACAACTCAACTCGTTCCCATTGTTAACAAGTCAACAGGTCAATCTTGGCCTAAATGCTGAAACTCAGTGGTGTTAATCTTACCTGAGTCTTCTGAAATGAACTCGATGGCTCTGCTACCTCATGCGGGACAGGAGCTGTGCATCAGTCTGTCGATACTGATGAGAAGGTGCAAGACTTTCACAACATCTCTTGAACCATGTGCAACCAGAGTAAAATTAGTTACACTCGCTGAGTCGCGGGAGATGCAGTTCATGAGTACACAGCTTCTCAACTGACACGGTGGAGCTGCGGACTTCAACTCCCATTACAATCACAGGACACGAGATCCTCTGCCTGGTGTTACTGCTGATTGCAGTTCTCAGTAGTGGCACGGGTGGGGGTGAGGAAATCATCAGAGCTTCACATTTATGTTAATAACAACTTCAGCGCACCCACCAGCCAGAAACCAGCAAGAAGCATAAAACCAGGAGTATCACAGCAAAGAGATTCTTTTTTTGTTTTGTTTTTAATATGGAAAATGAGGATATTCTGCACTTATTTGAATCTGATAATCCCGAACCAGTGATAAACACATCGTATCCAAGTTTGTTTTTTTAAGCAAAGACTGCAAATCTAATATCGTGTACCTTTCCCCCCCCCCCCCCTGTGATTGTGTAAGAATCATGTCCCCACTCTGAACACTTGATGGCAGTGTAGCTTCAGCACAAAGCCAAGAGAGTTGCATTTGTTAACACAAAGTACTAACTGAGTAGGTTTCATGTGAGCACTTAATTCACACACTTTCTCATGGTGGAAAAGTCTTTATGTAAAGAAAAACTATATAACGCAGGGAGGCTCTTGTGGGATGTTTTCCTATTGCCGTCAAATAATTTGATTTTAATTTTTAATATTATCCCTGCTGAGTCAGCATACCTGTAGGTATGATTTATTCTTCTAAAAAAAAAAAGAAAGCTGCAGTTCATAAATTTGCATTTAGGTTGAAAAAGAAAAAAGGCCATCTCGTCTCTTTCATGTATGTAATTCAGGTTCAGCTCTGCCAAAGGTTTCTTCCTGTTAAAGGGGAGTTTTCCTTCTCACTGTCACCAAAGTGCTTGCTCATGGGGGGCGGGGTCATCTGATTTTTTTCAGAGCTATATTTTACATGTCAGTGTGGTCATACTGATAATAGTGCTTTCAACAATTACTCTTTTTATGATTTATACCTGGGTTTTCCCAGTTTTCCTCTATATTTCTCTGTGGCCATAAAAGCAGAGAACTTTCATTAACTCAGTATTTCAGTTAATGACAGATTACTTTCACAACTGGCATATGTTTCAACAACCTGCTCCCTGCTAAACATATGCCTTAACTGGCAGTATAACTTCATGTTTGCAGCATCAGATTTGATCAGCCAGTATTTATTTCAACAGTAAAATAAAATAAAATAAAAAATAGTAAAATAAAAACAAAACTGAAACTGGAAAGTCAGTGTGCACACCCATAAAATACCAAGCTAAACGAAAATTTAAAATAGAGCCATAAAACATGTCATAAAGAGCATCACAGATCGATTCTGCTCATGTAATTATCACTGTATGAATATATTTTTTGTGCAACATGACAATAAGCTGTCTGTGCAGCCAGCTAAAATTATTTAGACTTTCACTAAATTCTGGTCTTTTCTATTCCGATCTAATTTTGTGACCCTCGTTGATATTAACACAGCAACACTGTCCTTTTATAGGAAAGTCATCGGTCACATCTTAATTAGCTGATTAATATAAGGCCACATGAACTTTAATTGTAGGGTTCAGTTGTAGATGTAGCACTTGTCATACGCACAAAGAAAAATACAATATGGAAATACACATACACTCTGAGCACCGTACAGTCATTAGTGTAGAAATATTTCTGGCTCCGTATTTTAAAGTCATGCTGCAGCCTCTGATCACAGCAGGAGTCTCGTCTTGAAGTAATGCAGACAGACCTTTAGAGAAGAAAAAGCAGTTGCAGAGCAGATGTGTTTACAGCATTTGTGGTAACAGATGTGGAAAAGCAGTAGTGTTACAGGTTCTCCTTGGAGCTACCAGCATGTGTTTGGACACACAGATGGAGCCATGAAGAGGTGAGTGAGTGTGCCCTTCTCAACAGTGCACCAAACCATCTGTGAACTGAAAGATACACAGGAATGCCACACATCTTCATCTGGTGTTGGAGTGAATAGATTAATCATGACTTATTGGCGCAAGTTTTAATTAGAAGGGATAGAACACCAAGTTCCTGCAGTTTGGCTTTAGCTACTTCCTCCCAGCCCTTATTAGCCAGCGGGTTCCTGGGCGATGGATGCATGATGCCCTCAACACGCACACTGACACCTGCAGCAGACAGGGCCCGCCGTGCCCGTTGCTCTGCCACCTTTCCTACACCAATCACCATGGAAACGTTCAGTGCCTCCACCACCTGGCACAGTGCAATGTCACACAGGCGCAGCAGGGCCTCCCGTTCAGCTGCGGGCAGCTCGGGGGGTGTTAAATTCTTCCCGCTGTCGCTCATGAAGATTAACGGGCACAGGTTGTGCACAAAGCAGTGCTGGAAGAAGACCTCCGGGTCACCGCACAATTTTCTGAAGAAGCCCCAAAAACGAGCGCCGCTCACTTCGCTCTGAGTGCAGGAGAGCCCCGTGATTCGTCTCTTTGGGTGCTCATTTTGTGGGCGGCCGACCTCCCCCGTGATCTTCAGCCAGTCGACAACTGACTTCACCTCACCAAACGGGACCTGCGCAAAGAGAAACAGATTATTTAAAGCAGCTCTGAGGTCAGAGGGAGCCTGGGAGTCTTCATGATGCAACAGAGGGGTTTTATCATCTCTCCATTTTGTGGCTCCTCATTTTCTCTGTCCCTTGCAGTGACCCTGCATGCTTTCTCTACATGACGTCTCAATTCCTTAACCCTAGAACACTATCGCCGGGTGATTTTCACCCGAGCAAATGTATTTACATAATTTTCAATATGTTGCGTTTGTCTGAGTGTGGTGGGTCTCTGGGTAGCTTCAGCATTGTCTTTGACGTCTTTGAAGGCGTGGGTGTTTCCCTACCCCAAATCCCGCTTTTTCCTACAGGCATGTGTTCGGGTGAATTTCACCCAGCAATAGTGATAGAGGGTAAAGTAGGTTTTGGGTGGATTTCACCCGGTGATAGTGTTAGTGTATAAAATCAGGTGATCTTGCCGCATTTCAAGGGTGACAACATTCAGGCTCGCCATATTTACTGTCCCTCTTCAACTACAGCTGTCACCCTGTTGCAGGTTTAGTGTCTTTGGCATCTCAGCTAGTGAGTAACACAGAGGTAAGGTTTGTTTAACTTGGCAATTGTTAGCTGATTAGATTTCTTTTTCTTTTCTTTTTTTTTTTAATCTAAAAGCTATGTTATGTAGCTAGCTGTGGCATGACCTTAGTGGGAACAATAAAAGCAAACAAAAGGCAGATCCCACAAGTGATGAAAGTTAAAGAAAATCACGCGCCAGGCTCCAGTGCATTTCCCTTTACCAAAGAACTAACCTTGGTGTCCTTCCTCCCTGACAAAGCTTCAAAAAAGAAGGTTGTACTGCTCCTGTCATCCATGCATACACAACCAAACATAGGACCCACTCGTAGGCCCGAAGTGATTGAATTTGGCAACAAAACAAAGGGAGGTGTCGATACTTTTGACCAGATGTGCGCTCACTATGGTTGTGGAAGAAAAACCAAGAGATGGCCCCTTTGCGTGTTCTATGGCATGATCAATGCTGATGTGATAAACTCATGGATCATTCACAATGAGAATGCAATGAAAACCAAATGCAGAGGAGGCCTTATATGCAGGCTTTGGCATTGGCACTCATCAAACCATGGGCAGAGCAGAGGCTCCCCTCTTCAAATCTGTCACGTCAACTCAGAGTCCTGATCTGTAGCGTGCTCGACATCCCTACCCCTGGCACTCTTGAAGGTGAGGCACGACCAGTGGCAGCAGAAAGCAGTGGTCCCTTAGTGAGGTGTGCCCCACAGGCTTGGACAGGAAGACGCGATACAGGTGCCATGTCTGCCGTCGACCGGTGTGTCCACGCCATTACTACCCTGTGTGTACTGACTGCATGTAAGGAATAGGTAAGTAAGAGTGGTCCTGGAATTTGCATGTTATCCTTATTTAGTGCAGTGGTTATGAATAACTATCAACAAGTGGTGATTTCCAAGGGAATTCATATGGTAAAAACAAATATTTTAGTCAACTGGTCATTTTTACCCACTCAAAAAATGCCATTTTTTGTTTCTCTCTCCTGCAGCTGTTCGCGTGTCAAGGAGACTGTGCCTTCACCAGGGAAGACTCAAATATCCCAGGAATGGGTGGACCAAAGACCAAGTTTCCAGCATCATTATATTTTTGTTTAGGATTTGTTTTGTTCTCCAACTGCTAATTTTCCAGAAATTTTGGAGCATTTTTTAGGGTCCCCCCATGAAACTTTTTTTTTCCATTTTGTTAGATATGGCACAGCTGAAAATAAAAGAAAACCCATCTAATTTGTCATGTGTTGTCATATATTTTATATATTTTGATGACAAGTACTTTTTGTTGTGTATATTATATTGGGTAAAAATCACCCGGCGTTAGTGATGGTGTTACTATTTTTAGCGATAGTGTTCTAGGGTTAAGATGATCAGCTCTTCTCATCAAACTTTCTGCCCCCTCACTGTTGTGTGTGCAATAACAAAATGTCAAAGTGCTACACTGGGAATTTTAATTAAAAGTAGCGCTAAATAAGGGTTGTGGTAATTACTGTTATAAACATGTAAGACCCTCAAATCCAGCATGAGGCCGTAATAAAACAGTGGACTGACAATGCAGCTGTGCTAAACAACACATTTAATTAACATGCTGTAAAATGACAGCGTGTTAATTAATTGAAGGTATGCGCAAGAGTATCTCTGAATAGGCTGAAGCTTGAAGCTGCAGAAGACCACACTGGGCACCAGTCCTGTCAAGTCTTCAGTTTGCATTGTTGCTTTAATGACTGCAGTGTACCCATCCTCCAGTGTGATGCTCTCATGTCAATATGGACCAAAATCTCGATTGTTTCCAGCATCTTGTTGAATCTGTGACACGAAGAATTAAGGCAGCTCTGAAGCCAAATGGGGGGTCCGACCTAGTACTAGCAATGCGTACCTAATAAAGTGGCTAGCTAGTGTATATTTTGGTGTTAAAACTGTTAATATTGCTACATATTAGTCTTGTTTCATCACTTTGCAAAACAGTTATTCCATACAAAGCAATGTTCAAGTTCCTGTCCTGTGACACTGTTTAATTAAATCTTAAATCATTCATCCTGGTGTGTGCTGCATTTAATAGGCAGTATACATACACCATGTTGCAGATCTCTGCTGCGACACCCCGCTGAAAACATGATAGGAGCGCCCCTGGCAGGCTGTCTCCTTTGTTTGCGTTAGCTTCCGCATTCACAGCCCTTTAAAACCTTTTACCACTGCTGTGCTCCTGTTACGGTCACGGCGATTTGGAAACTGTACTATGCCTCAAAATGTGTGCTCACCCCTGTCTGAGCCATTCCGAAAGGTCCGGGATTCATCCCCAAAAACAGGATCTTTTGTCCGGCCTGACAGTACTTCTCCACATAGCAGCGGTGGGTGTCCCAGGCGTACTCCAGCGGGTTGTAGATGTACCGGACAGGGTCGCTGAAGCGGAGGCCACGGAGGTGAGCGTTCAGCTCCAGTTCAGCCCGCAGAAACCTGGCAGAGGGGGTCTCATGAGCAGCATTAAAGCCCCGCTCCTTTGATTCACAGACGGGCACATTCTCTTCTCCGTCTCCACAAGCGACTTCACCGGCTTCACTCGCAGAAGAGTTTTCATTGAACATTTTTTAAAATTATTATATATGCTCCCATTAAAAAAAAAAAAGCAGCAATAACTTTGCGTTTTCAAACCGGTAAAGTACTGAACCCAGGTTTTTGTTGTTGTTCGGGGTCTTTAAGCGAGACTATTTTCTTCCTCTGCGTCTTTCAGTCACTTGATTCGAGTCGGCTGCTGCCACCTACAGTAACAATGGTGTTATTACAGCCACCAAAAAAAAGACAAGCAGAGTTATGACGGAGAGATTATTATGAGATGAAACTCAAAGAATAAAATCTATAGAAGACTACCACAGCAGCAAACATGGTGGCAGAAGTATAAAAATACTTTACAAAGTACTTTGTGGCAACATCCAACTTTTTAAACCGCCCCCTTAAAAAAAAAAAGGTTCAATATATAAAGCTAATTATTGAGAAGGAAGTTAGTTTGAATGCTAGTTCAAAATAAATGCCCAGAAGTGTTTAAAAGATGGCAGAACACACCGTGGACTGATTAACACAAATACATTTAACTGAACAAGTGTATATTAAATTTATATACACACACACGCCAACTTCATTAGGCACAACTGTTTCACTGTGCGTTAATGCAAATATATAATCTGCAAAATCAAATGTCAGCAACTCAGTACATTTAGGCATATAGATATGGTCGAGATGACCTGTTGAAGTTCAAAGTGAGCATTAGAATGAGGAAGAAGCGTGACTTTGAGAGTGGCATGGTTTTTGGTGCCAGACAGGCTGGTCTGCGGATTCCAGAAACTGCTATTATACTGGGATTTTACCACACCACCATCAGAAGCATTTACAGAAGACCATCTCTAAATGCACAACACGCCCTGCAGATGGGATACAACTCCTGTTAGCTAACAACAGGAAACAGGGAACAGTTCACACGGGCTCACTAAAACCGGACAACAGAAGACTGAAAACATTGCCTGGACTGATGATTCTCAGTTGCCACTGCAACATTCAGGGGGTAGGAACAGAGGTCAATAACATGCTCTACCTTTTGAACACCAGTTACAATGTGAGCATGAACAAATCACAATAACCTCTTTTTTGTGATTGTCCTGATACTCTTCACTATGGGTTACAACCTTTGTCATAATAAGCTCACATAAACACCAGAGGAAATCATCTCTGTCAAAAGGACAATAAATAAAAATGTATTAAGTAGAAGTTACATTAAAATAAACAAAACATGGAGCCACCTTGATGTTAAATCAAATACAAGTGACATATCATTGAAGTGGTTTTTTTAAACTTACCTGAGATCAAAAACACACAAATTAAAAAAAAAAAAATCATATTCCTTTACAAATTCTTTTTTTTTTATTATTTCAGCATAATAGTAAGAAGCCTCTCCTCTGATTTTCATACAGTTGAAACTAATTGGATCACAAGGGTACATATTAGTTAGCCCATTTTACATTAATCATTGTAACATTTTTTTAGGAAGTTATTCTTATGCACTCATTTTCCTACACAAAATAATCAATATCAAGATCCTATCTTAACTGAGGACCATAACTCTGCATGCAAGACTAATAAAGAAAACAACTAATCTGTGATAGCTACTGTTATGCTGTTGTTCATCTAATACCATTGTCAATATAATTTACTACAAATACCAGGGACTTTGTATAAGAAAGAAAACATTTTCTTGCAGTACTACTGCCTCTAGTGTCAAAAATCACCGAACATCCTGGGCTCTCAACTGTACTGATCCAAATTGTTCTGTCCGCCTTTCATGTCAAGTTCAGGAGAAATAGGCTTTGTCTAAAACCTAAAATCTAGTACAGATTGAAGGACAAAAATATCCATCTCTTTTTTTGTCTTTTTTCCTTACACTCCAGTGTTTACAATTTCATCAGAATAAAAAAGGTCCTTGAAACAATCATCAAAAATGTGATGACAAACTCGCAGACAAAAAAAAACAGAAAATAAAAGCCTCCTTTGATCTGTCTGTAAAAAGAAGAAAATAAAACCTCAATCTTACAACAGGGTTCTATTGCATTTAACAATGAGAATACTAAAAACAGTGAATGACAAAAACGTATTAACAAGTGACGTCTACTATATATTGTATTGCCCTTTTGCCGTTTTCAGTATGTGCTCACACCAGAAGTGTCCCTTCCACAGATTGGGAATAGTGTTTCCACAGCAGAGGATTTCATTTCTCAAACTTGGCTCCTCTGCTCTTTAAAAGGCCAAGCCGCTGATAACAGAATCCCATCTTTGTGCACACAGATTTGATAATCAATGGACCATTTAAAGAAAGCTTCTCATTAATACTTTTGGTAAAACATCACTCGACTCAGTCTTCCACTTCTCTGTATCGAACACAAACATCTCTTCATCCTACAATTCACAGACCATAGAAAGCGTGGCGGGACTCCCATCTCCACAAGTGTCATCTGGACCACTCACTATTTATCCGAATAAGACCGTAGTTACCAACAGATTATTCGCCCCAGTCTGCACTGACATTTCTGGGTTAAACAACAGGACGACGTGATCACAAGTTTACCAGTCACAGAAAGGAGCGTGTTTGAGAAAGTCATTAAAAAGCAGCAAAGCGGGCCCCGTGGGGCCACTCCTTGCTGTACCGAGTACTTTCAAAAGTTCAAAAGGTAAAAGAAATCGCTTGTAACGCTATCATTTAGTACTACAATGACTATTTGTGTATCCGCAACTTAAGGCTAAACCCAAAGACGTGACCGTTATTCCACACCAACTGTATAGTAATGGCTGGATGAAAAAGCAGTTGTTAGGTGTGCGGCAGAGTCAAGCAGGTGTTGATCCTGCCGTGGCCTGCGACCAGCCAAAGCACCGCCGCGTGGAAAACAATGTAGCACGACTGTCTTCTCACACGGACCGCCACGCGCAAGGGCCTCCTTTTTTTTTTTTAAGGATTATATTCTGTGTTACACCATCACCAGTAGCTATGACCCAAAATATTCAGTTATCACCATAAACATGACTTCTAAACAGAAGAGCACATTAGTCTGGTTCAGCGCCACTGAATCCATCCACATTCAGTAACCACGACAGCTTAAGGATTAAAAATAATAATAATATGATGATGATGACGAAAGGCTAGTAAATACATCTGATCCACAATAATAAACGGCCAAGAAAAAGGCAGATGAGAAAAGAAAAGAAAACAACAGAAACATACTAAGGCCACAAGATTTTGTATACGCCCACTAATCTCACAAAGTGATCTGTACAAACATCACTGGACTTCAAAAGTGGCTAACCTGCATCATTATACACCAGGATCTATGCAGCATGAGCGAGCAGAGGAAATGTCCTGCTTTAGTGCTGCAGATCTCTATACATGTTCTGTATATTTACAGCTGAACACCACCACACGCCCTCAGTACACATGAAGGAGGGCTCGCCAAGTCTGCCGTCCTGTGTGTGACGCTCTGGGACCCGACACACGTTAAGTGCGCATCTCGTCGACTGCAGGTCGCACTTTCGTTTCTTGGAAGTCCTGGTTTTACAGTTATTGATATTAGTTTTATGTCACACAAAGTTACTCGGGTTTTCTCAGGATACGATGGTGACGGTGGCCAAAGACTGCATTTGAGCCAAATTCCAATTTACGTCAACACCTTGTTTTTCTTACAAAATAATCATTAAAACTGGACCTTCCGAGCTGAAAAAGCCAGGAAACACTTTATGCATCACATCAGATTTACACAGTAATAATAATAATAATAATAATGATGATGCTTTCAATGACCTGTCTTTATGCTTAACACTGTCTGATACAAGGCAAGTAAACTCCGGTCTGTACATGAAATGCCAACATAGTTTCCTCACTTTACCTGGAAGAAAAGTTCAGTTTTAATAACTTTAACCTAAAATGCTTTTATGATCCTTTCCAGGCCAAAGAGAATAAACAACAACAAAAAATTAGAAAGAAGCTCAAATACTCTTCTTCTCCACCACATCACACAGTCAACCATTTCCTGTCCGAGTACCACCAAATGCAAATTTTTTTTTTTGAACAATAAACTTTTTTTTGCAAAAATCAAATAGATTAAGTACAAAACAGGACCACCGTTTATCACAGAAAAGTCTCATCTTAAAAAATGGGAAGAAACAGAAACACAGTAAAAAGTCAACAAAAAAACCCACAAATGTCCCGCTGTCGTTATTAATCCCAAGACTCGAGCTGCAAGATCAGTCTGTGCTAGAATGTGATGGCACTCTGCACAGAGCTGAGAAGAAACCCTGTGGCTTGTCCCGTCTCTGGAGGTGTTGTGGATCCAGAGAAGATTGAATGTCAGACCGCCAGTCGACCCGGAGGTGGATGCAGGGGGCTCCAGGTTGGGGGTGCCGGTGGGGGTTCTTGGGGATATGGGCGTGGTTCGCAACAGGGCTGGTTCTCTACTTTGGCTACGCCGCGCCCCTGGCACAACCGCCGATGTCGCAACAGTCGGTCTGTGCGCGAAAAGTTCTTCAAAAGATAAATATTAGACACGGTCAAATTCAGGTCAATTTCAAGGTCATCATTTTAAAAAATATGATAAAATGAAAAATGTCAGAGTAAAATGGAACTATGAAGGAAGGAATTTAAACCATACATGATTACTCTAAACTCAGGCGTGTCAGAGGGCAAACAAAGAGTGGGAAATGCAGAGAAGTCCCTAATATTTCAAAAAAGTGACTAACAATGTGGAAAAACAGTTGTTCCCTATATATAGACTTTATCCAGATGCAGTGCCATCAATCCATCCAAGTATTTATATGGCAGCATATTTTAGCATTTCTAGTTTTAGTGCATCGATAGTGGCAAAGATCAAATCACTAGTGGAGAACCCCTCTTCTTTTTTTCTAAGAATTCAGTCTGTGCTGATGAGCTAGACCCACTGTGGCTTTCACTGATAATTGTATTTATTTCTGTATTAACGTATATATCTAGTTCCATCTTCACTCAAACCATAACCCACAGCACGTGCTGCTTCAGTTAGCTCGCCACAGAGCAAAACAAGGACTACTGTTGCTAGGTGCAGTCAAAGGCGGTGGAGCTGGAGCTCATCTGCAGTATGAGAATCTTACCTCTTAAGAAAAATAACTTAACAGCCTGATGTCTAAAGGAACTGAAAAGTCTGGTGGTGCTGATACGACCCACTCAAGTCCAAATTTGAAATTCAGCACGTAAGACAC